TGTTAAAAGAAAAAATGATAATACATATTATATTCAAACACGTATTAAAAATAAAACTAAAAGATTTCATCGAATGATTCAACCAGAATGGAAAATGATTGATCATATTAACAGACATGGAATGGACAATCGTAAATCTAACTTACGAGAAACAACACCAAGAGAAAATGCACTAAATTGTAAATTACAAACAAATAATACATCAGGTTATAATGGAATTTGTTATCATAAAATTCTTAAAGCTTGGGAATTTAAATGGTTTGAAAATAGTAAAAGAAAACATAAAATATTTCGTATTACAAAAAATAGAACTAGTGAACAAGCAAAACAACTAGCAATAAAATTTAAATTAAAACATGATAAAAAAACTAATAATCGAAATGGATATTAAATAGAATTTAAATAATTTTGTGTAACTGTAAAAATTATAAAAACACTTTATTTTTTTTTAAATTTGTAAAGTAAATTAAAAATGAATAAACTTCCAACTGAAATGATATTTAGAATATTTGATTTATTAGATAATAAATCTATGTTATATTTTGCATTAACATGTAAATTTTATAAAAGAAAATTTGATGAATATATTTTTCCTCAAGTTAAACGTAATGTATGGGTACGAAATTCAGTTAATTACAGTATCTATCCACAAGAGTTAACAGCAACAAGAATTTATTTACCAAAAACTAAAAAAGGAAAACGATCATATGTTGAATTTTCTAATGACCAATTACCATGTGATAGATGTATTATAAAAAAGAGACGTGGATGGTGTGATTTTAAGAAACGATGTGAACATTGTATATTAGATGAAGTTAAATGTATATGTACTAGTAAAAGTGTTCGAAAACCTTTAAGTAGAGATAGAAAAGGAAATTATTATTGTGTTTCACCTTATAATAAAGGAGAAAAATTAATATCAGTACGTAAATGGGAAGTTGGAACAAGACGATGTGATAAATGTAATTTTTATAAAAAATGTGGTCAAATGCCTGTATTTAGTGGGTGTAATATTTCTTCGTGTAATTTATATTTTAGAGATAGTGTTATAGATATCTATTATAATTATCAAATTAATCATTATCATAATTTATGTGA